CTTAGTGGTAAGTTATTGCATTACCAACCCAAATATAATTGAGCTCTGTTGGCCTAGAGGCAAGAAGCTACACTGCAATACTAAAAGCACTAAGTTCAAATCCACTAGCAGCTCTTTGGAGATGGATGGTCTATCTATATTCTCCCATGATATTTACTGTCTCTGAAACCCTACTGTAGCCCTGAACTCTGCTCTATCTTCCGCCAATTTCATTGTCTCTGACACATCTACCTCTATTATCCCATTCAGAGTCAATCCATCTCATCAAGGAAGTTCTTCTCTTGCACTGTCCCTCCATCTTCCAAGTATGATGGCCTTCTCCAAGGACTGGTAAGATGCTTAAAGCATATGTGATGGAGTTTCAAAATTCTAGACTCCAATGAGAAACCTGGTTTCACCCTCTTCAGGAGAGATCTTTCTGTTCTCTTAGCAGTCCATGGTATAGGTTTAGCATGACCATAATCACATGTTATGGGTCACCATTCTTCTCAAGTTTAGCCACAATTTGTTGTGGCCTTTATCTCCAGGATTCTTCTGGCTACACATTGTCACAGTCTCCTCACAACAGTACCATAGTCTCTTCACAGAAGTACCACAGTCTCTCTACCCTCTCTCCATCACCATCACCACCTTCCTTCACAGTGTGGAAAGCTCTCTCTTATCTTGGTCTTAAGGATGTTTATGATTTGGAAGATCATTTATCTGCAGTTAAATCAGTTAAGTTAGCTGGAGATCATGCCCAACAAGGGCTAATGTAATGGCTAGAAAATCTAATTTTTTAGGGTTTCTGACACCACAGAATACTGCCTGACTTTTCTAAAGATTATATTTTATTATCTGAAAGGTCAGCCTTTCATTTACTATATTCATGGAGTATGTAAGCCAACTGCTTTACTCATAATTAACTCATTCCCCATTTTAGGTAGTCAGTTTCTGATTTGCCCAGTCCTATGAAATCAGAAAGAGAAAATAAACATGTCTTTTTTTTTTATTTAATCTGAAGAGTTTTCTATTACAGTAGAAACTTTGAACAGTTGCAACTATAAACAAAAGTATATTCAGAAACATGCCATTAGGTAACAGTAATCAACACTAGCTCACAGAATGAAACATTTTCTCTTCATCTAGTGCCTCCGGAAACCCTTTGAACTTGGAGAGAGGATGAAAGGCACCCAAGCGTCAAGGTCTCTCCTTCATAGGGTTGCTATGAGTCGCCTGCGACTCAACGGCACTTAACAACAATAACATCAACAGAGAGAGAAAGAGAGAGAGAGAGGGAGAGGGAGAGAGAGAGAGAGAGAGA